CATGGTTGAAAGTCACAGAGGCCTTTTGGAGCCATAATGCCGATAGCATGATGCATTCAAACTAATGGATTTTGTTTTGTTATTGGCTTGACTCTGAACATCCTCGAGTACACTCATTTCTGGGCATCCTACAACTTTGATGTTCTGCTGCATGCTCTCATTTGAGTTATTGACTTATGAAATACAATGTTTTCTATTGTAATTCTACAACGTTTGATGTTTGTCTGTATATGATGCATACAAACTATTGGAGTTTGCTGTTTTAGTTCTATATACATAGATCTTTCACTGTAGTGTAGAACATATACCTTTACACTAATTTCGGAACTTCTCTCCTCTGCTATGAACTTTGACCTATCATGAAAGTGAGCATGTATGTTGCTATGTCTCTTCTGTGCATTAACAAGGACCACAGAGGACGTTTTCTTGCCATTCATTATGTTTACCCTAAGTGGACCATACTCAGGACATGCCATTTTTTTTATAAAAAAAAAATCTGCTTGTAGAAGAACCTGAGTAGTCTAAGATTGCTAGTTTTAGTTGTTTTACTTGAAACAAGATTCCAAGATACAAAAGCATGTATTATATGATCAGAACTTTAATGGCTTCTATCTGTTGCAGGTGACAGATATCTGAAGCCATGGATAATTCCAGTCCCAGAGGTAACAATAGTTCCACGGGCTAAGGATGATGAGTGCCTTATTCTTGCCAGTGACGGCCTCTGGGATGTAATGTCAAATGAAGAGGTATGTGAAGTTGCTCGCAAGCGGATACTTCTGTGGCACAAAAAGAATGGCACAAGTTCATCATCAGCCCCACGGGTTGGTGATTCCGCAGACCCAGCTGCTCAAGCGGCTGCTGAATGCTTGTCAAAGCTTGCTCTTCAGAAGGGGAGCAAAGACAACATCACTGTTGTTGTAGTTGACCTGAAAGCACAGCGCAAGTTCAAGAGCAAAACCTAACCATGATGGCTTGATGGACAATTATAGCGACAAGTTGCTAGGAACCTAGATTTGGAGAATCCAAATTTGGTCAGTTTAGTCCGCTGACTTAGTACATTACTTAGCCCAGTTCTTTATTTTCTCAGTTCTTTTTAAGCCATTTGGGCTGCCAAGGGCTGTATTCCTCGTATATGGTACAGATTGCGAAATCCGTGTCAGGGTTTATGTTTCCTGACCGGGTGACGGTCCTGTTTTCATTCTTCTTTCTTCGTTGCCCTGTATTCTTTTTGTCAAGCTGGGCGTCCAAGTATCTGGCAATGTATATTTGAGCTTGTAGGGTACAAAAGAAACGAAGTGTTATAAAGGGTATGTATCCTGCCTGCCTGAATTTGAGAAATCTATCAATTGCATCAGCTGGTAATAAGTATGGACTTGAAATTTGGATACTGGTTGAAAGAACCGAATGGTCTAAAAGGGTTGAGTTGGGCTAAAAAAGTAATTTAAAGCAACGACTTAGTCTACATAAATTTGTACTCAACATATGCATGGTAAAGTTTTAGGACCAAAAAAGATCATACAAATGTAGAGGCCTTATGGTTAATGAAGCTAAACATATCCTTTTAAAATAAGCGAGTTCTTACGGTAAAAAAAAAAGAAAGAAAAATAAGCAAGTTGAAACTATCTAAAGAAATATGCTAAGCAAGTCTACTAAGAGTTTTACACAATAATTAACACCAGGGGCGAAGCTATAGAAATGGCGTCAGGATCATCCCACGAAACTTTTATCACCTCTCTCTTTGTTTATACTTTGTCATGTCAACTTATTTAATATCCATAAAACTCTTATGAAATTTTCATTGAGATTGGTCTAAGAAATTACAGGATTTCATTGGGGTCGGTTGAACTCGTGAATGTAACAGGGTGGAAGCACACCATCACACCAAAAAAGAGATCCTTAGACAATGTTATGAAAACTACGAAAAAGCACTCTAAAAGGGAAGATCCTTTTTGACACAAGATATTTTGCATACAATCAAGAGCAGAAACACAAAACTAAATATGAACGTAAGTGCAAGAAAAGAAAAAAAGAAAGAATGTAAGTGCATGAAAAGAAAGAAGGCAAAGAGATAATCAGATTTTTTTTTCTATGGTAGCTGGTAGTTGTTCACAATCTTTCGATCCATGTTGGAGCACCGATAAGTCAAAGAGACTCGATTATGCTCCCTTGAGTCACAAAGTTTCAAATCTTCATTAATGAATACCCCTTCTCCGATCTGAATGGGCGGGTTTTAAATCCAGTACATCAATAGAAGCCTTCCCACAATAAGCTACATCAAGAAGATCACCCAGTCATCCATCCACTGGACCGTCTAGGTGCTAGCAGACACTAGGAGTAACCTGTCTTCAACCTTCACAATCCAAGTTAAGAACACCGAGTGTACAACAAGCACACTCTCCTAATTTGCAATCTTGACTTGAATGCCATCAAGCCCTTTTCCATGCCCTCTATATGTGTGTTATATTTTAGGGTCCAAGAGAGCTCCAAATGAGTAAGAGAAAACATATATATATATATAGGGTGGGAAGGAGTTGTTAAGTGTTGAAGAAATTATGCAGTTGCAGTTATGATTTGCCGAGCGACACATAGTCACACCAAATTATACAACGATCCTATTCAGGTCAATTTTCTAATTTGTCGTCCACGTGTGATTTGTTGTCGTCCACAATGGCATCATCGGTTCATCATGTGCTTACTTAGTGCTGCAACACTAAGTTGAACAGACCTTCACTGGATGAAACATCAGGTGTCACATGATGACACCGGATCATATAGGGTCTGTTTGGTGGAAGCCACCCACCAACCTCAAGGCAGCTCCAGAAAAACGTAAGGGGTGGGTGTTTTTTTGGGAGCCAGGCTTGAGCCTCGTTTAGATCGATGTCAGGAATCAGTATTTGGCATTGTAGCACTTTCGTTTGTATTTGATAATTATTGTCCAATCATGGCCTAACTAGGTTCAAAAGATTCGTCTCGTAATTTACAATCAAACTGTATAATTAGTTATTTTTTATCTATATTTAATACTCCATACATGTGTCCAAAAATTTGATGTGATGGAGAGAGAGTGAAAAAACTGGAATCTAAACAAGACCTTGGCTTAGCACTCGTGGCCGTTCTCCTCACCTCCTATCTCACCCGCGCTCACCCCTCCATTCTCACCGACAGCGAGGTCTCCTCTCCCCCTCCATTCCGACGGCGACCATGCATGCGGTGGCCCTGCTCCCCTCGATCGGCGGCAGACCCTTCCCCACATCCCCGGCGGCGACGTCCCCTCCCACCTCGTAGCAGAGAGACAACGGCGGCATAGGTCTCGTCCACCACCGGTGGCGGCGCGGGTCACACAGGCAACACAGCTGCACAAGCTACCGCACCAATCCCCACAGCCCCGAGGCCCGATCCAGCGCCGAGCACCTGGATTTTGCCAGTGCCCCGCCATGTCCTCCTCCACCGCATCGTGGTCGCGCTACGGCGCCGTCCCCACCTCCCCCTGTGTCGTCGGTGCCGTCGCTCATGCAGGAGGAGGTTGCGGCCACCGCGGGCGGCGAGGCGTCACCCTTGTCGTCGTCAGGTGCTGCGGGCGTTCGCGGGCGTCGCGGCGGGCCGGGCCATGCGCGTGGTGGGAGGTGCTAGACCCGATGGCGTTCTCGCGCCCATAGGGGAGGGGAGGGGCGTTAATGGCGTCCGCTAGGTGCTCGTCGTACTCGGGCAGGTGCTCGCCGGCGTGCTCGCGGAGGTGCTTGCCAAGGTGCTCTTGCCCACCACATGTTCGATGAAATTCCTGAGAGGGGGTAAACTTACCAAATAGAGGAAGGGGTAACTCTATGCAAAGCAAACAAAGCAACTAAACACTTCATTTGCTAGCTAGGCTTAGATAACACAGACATCCAAACAACTAGGAATTGACTTGGTGGGAGCAAGTTAAGACCGCCTAAACTAGAATTCTAGAAAATCAGGCTAGAAATAGGCCAGGAAACCAAACACACTCATATCAAACTCCAAGAGCTTGGGCACTCCACACACAGTTGAAGCCACCGTTATTGGATGATCTGCTGGGTGTCACACAAGCACTGGACCGACCATACGGTGAACTCTGATATCTTGGTCACTTGACACACAGTCAAGTCACAACCTAATCAGATGATCCGGTAATCCATCAGGCGTCACAAAGTTGCACCGAACCATAGGGTGAACTCCGTTGGCCATGTTAAGTGAGTCAGCACAGTGTCACCAGATGATCCTTTGAGTCGGTCTCAATCATCTTGTGTATATTCCGTTGCATATTTTTAGCCAGTTCTAAGTCTAATCTCATCTAATTTGATCTCTTTGAGATTTTTGACTTAAAATCTATCCAACGAGACCACTTTTGAGCTGACTTGGGAGAGTATACCTCATGTGCACATCCAAGGTGCTTTGAACCCAAACTCCGGTCAAGTTACTAGTCATTAGCTTACGGCCAAATATTAAAAAAGACCTGCACACTACGTCAAGCACCTATCCATGCAGCCATACTTGATATCAACTTTGAGGCCAAGAACCTCCATGCGGCTTACCAACCTGCAAGAAATGAACATTAGTAGCACGCACTAGTAGTGTTCATCAATCACCAAATCACTATAATAAATATTGTAGAGCTACAATAAAACCGGACAAGCCTTCTAACACCTGCTCCACTGACTCCTATCCTGCTACAGTGATCAAGAGTGTGCTTGGAGCCACAGCTAGGGCATCCTGAAGCCCGGCCTTTTTGCGTTAGGTAAATAAGCCCAGGGAAATGAGGAATAATAATCGGCCACATGGGCCTCCAAGTGAATGATGGGCTGTCACCCTTGGCTTCCCCTCCTCCACTCTCGAGAGGGCCGCAGAAAAGGAAACCCCCAATGCGAGCGCCCCTGGCTTCTCGCCTCCTTCAGCCAAAACCCTAGCTTGCCTACGCGCCCGAACAAAGGCTTCGTCTGCGAGGGGCGCCCTCCTGCCGCCAGAAGCTTCCAGGAACATCAGGGATGGTGTGGTTCCAATGCGAGGACTGTGGCGAGAACCTCAAGAAGCCCAAGCTCGCCGGCCACTTCCGCTGCTGCTCCGCGTACAAGGTCAGAGCGGCGCCCGACTCTCTTCCCCTCTCCCGGTTCCTTTCTGGACCGATCTTTGGCGCCGTGGTGGTTAATTGATGTTTCTGTTGCCCGGCCGCAGCTGTCATGCATTGATTGCGGCGAGTTCTTCAGCCAGGAAACCGTGCAGGGGCACACCCAGTGCATCTCCGAGGCCGTGAGTTCATCCGCACCTCTCTCTGAGTGCCTTCAATCCTCACTGTAGTGTGCAATTTACTATTCGTCTCTGCAGTTCCGAACGATATGTGTCTGACGGTGCAATTGGTGCCTATGAACTGCTGTTGCATTGGATTGTGGGTGTTTTTATTTGTTCGCTCCCCTGTTGCTACTTTAACGTGGCTAGGCAATGTTGCTTGGCTATTGTTTGGAGTGCATAAACCTGTTCATTTTTGTTGATATTCCCTCTGTCCTGAAATATATGGGATCCAAGTTTGTCCTAAGTTGACCAAGTTTATAGCGAAGTGTATTACTACATATACCACACAGAGGTAAATTGTGAAAATATATTTCATAATATATCCAACGATGCTAATTTGATGTCGTTCTTCTTTTCTATAAGTCTGTTCAAATTTAGCATTGTTTGACTTAGGACAAACTTAGCACTATTACGGTCATTTCTTGCAATTGTTGGTAAGCTATATCTGGAAGTTACAGTCTGCAGGTTGATTTGTTCCTTTTCATATTAGGATTGGTAGTTTCAATAGAAGTGTTATAACCATGAAGGCTTATGTTAGAATATGTGGAGGCTCTGATTTCTAACTGAGCAGTTCCTTTTTATGTACAGATTATTATAATATATATAGGACTCTTCGGAGTGTGTTCTCCAGAGTTAGTGCATTCAGTAGCTAAATAGGGCTTTGTAAAGTTCTAAGTGTACACTGAAACAATGACATGTGGTTACTGTGGCTATTGTTATATGTGCAAAATATGGCATTCAATCCAGTACTCATTTCTACTGTATTTGTTTTCATTCAGGAGAAGTATGGTCCTAAGGGACAGAACAAGCCATCCAATGGTGTACAGGGTAAGGCAGATAAGCCAAAGCCAAATGCAGATGTTGATATCAATGTTGGGCTGTCGACACGGCCTCCTTGGTTCTGTAGGTGTGCCAATTTGATCCCTTAGTATATACACAATAATTATTGCAGATGGTTATGTAGTAACAGTGCTGATGCCATAGTTCTAAACCATCTTTACTCCTAACCATGTAACCATAGAGGTGTTGATTGTGAATTTGTGATCAATGTTTATGGCTTATTTCTATGCTTCTCAATTTTTCCGTTGATAAAAATCATTCTTGGGATTGTTTTGTTTTTTCGGAATAATAGTCACATGGAGTGCAAGTACATCTATATAGACTAGACATGGTAATACAATTAATCAAGAGGTTGCAGTTATCTTTGTAGTTGCAAACGTCTGTGATTATAAGTTCAAATTTGTAGCTTTCCTTTTTCCATTTAGAAAAGCTTGCTTGGAACTATTAAATTATTTGTTGTATTATATCTTTCTTATGAATGATGGGTCTGGCATGTTGGTAGAGTCTCTCCATTCGTGGCCTGGAGGTCCTAGGTTCAACCCAGCCTCTTTGCAAAATTAAGCAAGGGTAAGGCTGTCTAGAGATTCCATTCCCAGATTTCACCCTGTGTGGGAGCTTTCAGTACTGTGTATGCCCCTTTTTATGTTATTTACATGGGCAGTGCAAGTGTGTATATGTAAACCACCAGACACACACTTCTACAGTAAACATGGTAATGTAGAGGCCAAGTTTTTCTATTTTTCTTTTAAGTTGCATCTCTCTTACAAAGGTTAGGTCTTCTTCTGGTTCATTGTAGTGTTATATTTTTCAAGTGCCTTTATCATGTATATTGACTGCTAGGTTGATTTTTGATGATTTTTCTGTAGACAATTTCAAAATTTGAGAAATCAAATTTGTCGTTGTTGCTTATATAAACAATATCGTGTTTATCCCTGTTGTCAGCACATTGCGATTGCATTCAAGTTCTTGATTTGAAGTGTTTTGATCTTTGTTTCAAAGAACTCAGGAGCTTGCTTAGATATCTAGGAACTGTGTACTTATTGTGAATTTGCATGACAGCCTATGCAAGACCACTACCACAAGCAAGCAAACCCTCTTACTGCATGCTGATGGGAAGAAGCACAGGGCAAAGGCGAAGGCCTTCCATGCTTCTCAGAAACAAAAAGATGGTGCAGAACAAACTCCAGATGTGAAGGAAGCCGGAGGTGTACCCACAAAAGAATCTGCTCAAGTAAATGGTGGTGTGAGTGGTGATCGTGAAAGAAATGAAGATAAAGATGCTGGGAAAAGAAAACGAATGGATGACATGACCATGGAGGAGCCAGATAACACAAAAAGACAGCATTTAACAAGTTCGAGTGTTGTAGAGTTGACGCAGTCTGGAGATGAGAAGTCAGAAAACAAAGCGAAGAGTAAGGCAGATGAACTAGCAAGTGGTGCCGACTGCAAAAGTGTTCAAAAACAAAAGATCAAATGGAAGAAGATTATTGCTAAAACACTGAAGACGGTGAGCCTAAAAAGTTTGATATTGTCCTATATTGTGGCATCCTTTAAACTATACGTTGTTCATAATTGTGCTGGTTTATTTCAGCACACAGATGGAGTGATGAAGCTAAAGAAGCTACAAAAGCTAGTCTCCAAGGAGCTTCAGGAATGTGGTGTCTCTAAAGACAAGGAGGGGCTCCGTGCTACCTTGATGGATAAAGTAATCAATCGTCGCGAAACAAATCTTTATCTACTGTTTCTCTCCCCTTGATTCCAATTTTAGAGCATTTTGTTTACTAATGCATATTCCTTTTACTGCTGCTTGTTGCAGATAGCTTCAAGCTCCAGATTTTCTGTTGATGGCAAGCATGTTAGACTGGTGGCCAAGAATGAAGAAGAATCTTAGAAAGAGGTTGTCAGTCATTTCTTGGCATTGTTGCTAGTCTCATTCTTTGATGTCAACTTTCAGATGGCTTGTAGTCAAGTTTTGGTTAAATTGAGTGCATGAACCATCAATTATATATCCATGACCTGTAGACGGTATGGGAATTTAGCATCTGAATTTTATTGGCAACCTTTCAAAAGTGAACTTTTTACTCTTTATGCTGTCATCAAGCAATGCCAATGTTGGAGGCAGTATCTGGTTGTCTTATCGACGGCAGATTTGCTATCACCAAACTACCGAAGCTTGGAAAAGTTAAACTGTGCATAAGAATTGATCTACTGAATTTCTGTAATATACCGCGGGGACGTCGTCGTCGACACAAGTTAGTTTTGGGGTAAAAAACTGCAGCGCAACACCAATCTGGTGTTTTTTTTCTTTTTTGAATCTATCTGGTGGATGAGACTCGCAAGCAGGTTGGATTTGAGCCCAGCCAAAGAATCTGTTCGAATCGTTGCCCAAAATCGATTGCGTTTGGGGGCCATGGGCTGAATAAAGCTGAATCGGCTGTGGGTCCTGGCTTGGCACGAGTCTTATGTGATTGAGAAACGTGACATGTTATTAATCTAAGGGGAAAAAAGATCCTCTTCACCTCCCTCAACTATTGCAGTAGTTTTGATTTACCTCCTTTAACCAGAAAATCGGATGCTTACACTCCTCGAACTATTGAAATCGTTGGACTTACCTCCCTCAGCGAGCGATTTTTAAAAAGGTCTTTGCTGACATGGTGCTAGGCGTCCCACGTGGCAGTAAGATGTCATTGAGTTAAGTTAACCTATATTATTTAGAAATGGGCCTCCACGTTTTTCTAGCCATTGACGGCTCACGTTTTTTTTACCAAAATGAATTCAAGAATCGATGCAAAGTGTCAATGACGACATGACCTTTGATGCCCCGGCCATGCTGCGGATGCTCTTAACACACAAGATGCTCTTTTTTTTTGTTTGAACTTGCAACACACAAGATGTTATTTGTGTGTCAATGTGTGTGCGAGAGGGAGATAATGGGAGCAGTGCACACACGCATGCATGGCAGACATTGGGAAATAATGTTAGTTTGGTTTCCAACTGTAACCAGGCACGGGTTCACCGGCAAGTCTTGCTGTTCCGCTGCAATGCTCGATCTGCAGCTCCCTACTCTACGCGACCGACGTGGACATGTGGCAACCAGCTAGCTTAGTGGCTTCAGGCAGTCAAATGTGGTTAGCTTCTCCAGATTCCACACGCTGATTATACGGCATGCATATATGCTTGCTTGACTTTGAAGGAAACCGCTGAAAACTGCAGTAGTAGTGTGTATACATATGTCATGTTCGCAACGACACGCCAAATACGTATATGTGTCGCATACTCCTATATGTCTGCAGATTATATGTCAGGCGTTATGTACAGTCGTGCTACTAGTCGTGGACCAATCATTTGATCTGAAAGCCTCCTGGAAAGTGCACACCGACCACTCCAACTACTGGTCCAGAGAGTCCACACCAGTTTGTGGATTTTTTTTTTTAATCCATTTTTAATCAATATTTTAATACTAATCCCATAAAAAAAGTATTTGTAAAACTGACCCTTTTGATCGTGCCAGCCGCATACCACGCTGTCGCGCCACATGCGCTTGCGCGACAAGCCGATGCACGGTGGCGCCGGTCGTTGACCGATGCTGGCATGGCGTAACGTGGGCCCCACCCTGTCACGCCAGCGACACAGGCACGACAGCCCGCCTGGCGCAATAGGTCGTTATAAGGCCGCGCGGCCCATCTGCTTTTTTCTTCGTCTGCTATGTTTCCTCACTCCCTCAATCATGTGAGAAGTGAGGGCGACCTTGGACAGTGTCTCTTTCTCTATGTTCTCTTTCTCCTCATTCTCTACCTCTCTTTGATCAAGTTTGGTTTTGGATTTTTGGTTCCTTTGGTCTAATGCATGAGGTATGCCTCTTTCATCCTCTGTTGTTTTTTTGGATGGTTGATGGTTCTAGAGTGCTATGGTTTAGACTGCTATGGTTTAGACTGTTGTGTGCATTACTGGCTTTTGCTTTGTTAGGTGATACTTTGTTGTCCTAATCATGCATATTATTAGGATTCCATTGTTAGATGTTAGACTGTTGGTAGAGGTTGGCACTGTTCTAGGGTTTGAATGCAATGTTTGAACAGGTGTCTGGCTTGGCCTGTGCTAAGTAAAGTTACCTCTAAGTTTGTGATTTGAAGTTCATTTATACTGATTAGATGTATGGATGTGTTGGACTGTGTATATACAGAGATGGTTTGAAGTCCATGAGGTTATGTCTAGGGTTTCATATCATGTTTTGATAACTTTGCTTTGTTGAACTACTTTGTAATAGATTCAATGGCAGATGCAAATAACAACCAATTCGTGCACCATCTGAAGGATCATGGTGGCATCGGTCCTTTCCTACTAGTAGAGCCAACACCGTTGTGTTACTGTGGCTTACCGACATTTGTGAAGCAGTCAAGGCATCCCGCGTCAGTTGGGCGTGCTTTCTACTGTTGCCAACTTAAGCGTCGTCCCCTAACACTTGATGCCTACCTAGAGGGATGTAGCTTCTATCAGTGGATCGACGGCGATGAAATGTTTGATCCATCGATTATGTTGTTTCCTTATGAACCCTAGAAGAGCGTTCCTTATTTGGAATTTGTTCATTGGGTTCCGCCGCCACCGAACCCTCCGGATATGACAGAGGTGGAGAAGGTTGACGCTGCTTTGCGCTGTGTAGCCAATCCTCCTAGATGACACTGAGGAGTGTCGGCGCTACTAACTACTCCCAGCCAACGTGGAGCATTCACTGCCTTCTATCGCTGTGGATTGCCAGGTTATGTAAGTTCTCATGAAATCAATCTATCTCTAAGCTTGTATGCGTTTTGCACATACAATGTTACACTTGGAACATTTGTTTTTTGCAGAGAGGGTTCCCATCTTGTGAGTTTGAGGAGTATAACTATGGACCCAAATCGCACTGGCCTTCTGAGTATGAATTTGCGGAGTTTGAAGCAGGCATTAAGCCATGGCCATGCACAAAGATGCCGGACCGTAAGTGCAAGTGTGGCATCAAGGCTCGCGAAGGAGTTGTTCCATCTGAGCTAGGACACGGATACTACTATGGCAATGCTTATGAAGGGTTGTCTGAGTTATAGGTGAGTTCACTCAACCGGTCAAGTTACTACATGAGCATAGGGCACCGGTTTGTTTGTTCATTGCTTTGTGTTTGCTTAGGTGGGGGAGGACATGCAATTTGGAGGACTTCACTGGTCGTGGAGAGTTAGTGGAGAGGCTGAAGATACATTCGCCTCTCAAAAAAGGCACGAAGTGTTGGATATGGGAGGAGAAGCAGATGGAGGTGAGGATGAGGTACGGGGTAGAGATGCCATCATGGAAGACCCGTAACAGGATTTTAGAGGACTTTCCTCGAGTGACCGGTCAATAGCTGTCTTTTTACAATAACGAGGCCGAGTTGATGAGCTTTTGGCGACAAGACAAGGAGGCCTACAACTTTAAGGAGGCCGAGGATGCGTGGGAGATGACATTTTTCCATAGGCATATCCGTTGCTTATGTGAGTAATTGATTTCGAAATTTGTTTCGACTTGTGCATCTTCTTACAATTGTTGGCAATGAGACATTGTTTCCTTCTTGTAGTCCCTAATAATGCACCGAACGATGGCCATATCCTTGCACCCATGGAGGAGGACGATGACCATGACCATGACCATGACGATGATGTGGACGATGAGTAGTGTTTCCTCTCAACTGATGCCTACAAGGTGCAGTACATATTTTGTAAATGCCAATAGGTTCAACATTACTTAGGTCTTTGTATATGGTAGATGGAGGACTGGTATGATAGCGCTGCTTGTTTTGTGCAAAGGCAGCAAGATCAGTACATATTTTGCAAATGGCCATGGGTTGCCATGTGGTAGTACTTGTTCATGGTAGATGGAAGACTAGTGTTAGTAGTAGTGGTTGTATATGCTAGATGGAACAGTTATGTAAGTGATGATGATGATGACCTTGAGTTGTACGAACAATGCTTCGAACTCCTTATCGTGTGTAATGCTTTGAACTCGTTATGGTGTGTAATGCTATCAACTCCTTATGATGTGTCATGGTATGTGAACAATGTTTAACTTTGCATTCATGGTTTATGATTTCAACAATTACTACAATTTCAACTTTAGTTGAAAACATTACAAATCTTGCACTTTTCATTTCTCTGCCTCCGAGCCCGTAGACCTCATTGACATCCATTCTTGCAAAGCACCATGTACCTCTTTGTTCTTGTCAGAGTGGGTCATATAATTTGGTGGATATGTTTAGAAAAAACATTAACAAAATTCAATTTTAATGACGTATGTTTGGAAAAATGAATGAAACATACCACAGTTGGAGGTAATGGCCAATGTATGTAATTTCCAGGGCTGTCGCGCCAAGCCGAGTGGCGAGACAAGGCTGTCGCGCTGGTGTCCATGGCGCGACAAGGCTGTCGCGCCAGATGCGGTGGCGTGACGAGGAGGCACCAGCCAGGCAAAACTTAACTACAAACGTGGGTTCACTGGCGTGACAATGCCACGCCGCCCTCACTTGCGTGATGCCACCACCACGGTCACGCCAGTGAGCCACCGTATCTAGTTTGGTTTTGCATGGGCGATGCCTCCTCGTCGTGCCACTATGCCTGGCGCGCCACCGACTCCAGCGAGACAGCGTTGTCGCGCCGCCCAGGCTGGCGTGACACTGTCACGCCAGTGAGCCACCGTATCTAGTTTGGTTTTGCATGGGCGATGCCTCCTCGTCGCACCACCCCGCCTAGCGCAACAACCATGGCATGCCACCGACTCCGGCGGGACAATGTTGTCGCGCCGCCTAGGCTGGCGCGACAATCATTTGCACAGTGCACTGTCAAGACTGTCGCGCCAGCAAGCCTGGCATGACAGGCCTGGAAACAATATTTTTTCTTT